CTCTCTAATTTTTCTTATCATTGAGACAGCTTTTTCTCTAACAGTCATGTCCTCATCTGCACACATACCAAGAAGAAGTTGATCTGTGTGGGCGAAGTATGCATTTCTCTGGACAGCCTTCTTCACTATCGTCTCCTCCTCACTATTCAGGTGTTTCATATATAGCAGGGACTGGAATACGTTCCTTGAGCCGTGTGTTACGTAAGGGTGTATCTTGATGTAAAACCACATTGGAGCACTGAACTTTATTATTGTAATGACAATTCTTTTCAACTCATGGCTGGGTCTTGATGTTGCTACATACAGCCTGAGGATTCTACTCCATAAGGTGTTCCACCTTGACACACAGGGAGGACCTGGCTCAATAGCAGCCAAGTCATCTTCAACAACACCTGTGATAACTCCTTTACAAATCCTATACAGGTATTTCTGATCCCAGGACAGATCTTTCTCCACTTCATCATTAAACACAGGGAAATCAGGGAAACTGACTGGCTGGAAGGCGACAACTGGAAGCTCAGACAAAGACTCCTTGATCTGCTTTCCAATGGGACCACGCCAATGCTCAGGACCACTTGGTTTACCATCATAGTGATAAAAAACTGCGCGGAAAGGCAGCTCATTTCCGTGAAGCTGACATATGAAATAATGGAGCGGGTGACCAAGTAACATTTCAAGATGATGAATGACTCCATTTTCTGATCCTACATTTACATTGGTTCCATCACAACCAACACACACAATGGGCTGCTGGGTTAGATTTTTCTCCACCAGAAACTCGTGAATAGTTTTGGCAATCTGCTTTCCGTGTCCAGTCTTGGGAGTCACATGTGTGAGATATTCATTGCCAGGCTCAACCATGATGATATAATTATCTTTCACCATCATCCTCGAACTCCATTTCTCGGTCTTCTCATTCTTTATCATCACACGAGTGGCGGTCTTCTTACCATCAAAATAGAGTGACGTCAAATTATCTAAACTAGCCATCTCAATTTCTTGCCTCTTAAATCGGTATTTTTGTCTCGCATCCCGCAGCTTATGTGGTCCAATAACCTGACTCTTGCCTGCTTAACGGTAACTATTTGAATAATTTCAAGTGCGCCAACTTACCCAGGTCTCCCCTACATTACAGTACAGTAACACAACATTGAGAAATGAAATGAGAAAAGGCTGATAATCAATATAGACATAGCTCCATACTCATCTGCAACAAGACAACTTAAATGAAATAAGAGATATGAAAAAAAAGTTGATAAACACTGAACAGAACATTGCACCGCCACAGCGGCTGTTTGGCTAGTACTGTAGGTAAATTTAAAAATTTCAGTAGAAAATGCGGCAGACTAAACCTCGACATATCAGCTTCAAATTTGGCATGGAGTCTTAGATATGTATACGGAACAATGCCTGAAGAGTGCAGCTTTGAGCAAAATTTCACTGCCCCCTACTGTCCACACTGTGGGAATCCCTGTTCTTTCAGACCGGAAATAAATTTTTTCATCACTTCTTCAACACTTGATGTTTCCCGCCATCACAATAAATCACTTCGCCTCCCTGGCTGCATAAACGCCGATGCGGCCGTTTCAATTCACATAAAGAAAATGCATCAAATTTCACCATAACTTAGTAAGTTCTTTCTGTTTAATATTCCGGGAGGACTGGAGGGGGGGAGGCTGTACTGCGCGCATCATTGTCATCCTTAGAATCCCTTTAATTCATATTACGCTACAAAACATTCAAATCCACCGCGCTTGTAGAATCTCAGAAAACGGGAAACGTTGACAAGGGATAACTCAACTACTGAATGTTGATGTTTGTTCTATATGAATTGAACCCAGGTACGGTCATATAATATTAAGTGTATGTACTCATAGCGTTGAGGAGAACTCAAGGTATCTATAAGATGGTTGGGAAAGTCCAATTGATACGGACTAGTGTATTATAAGGGCTAAGTGTAGATCGTGTTTGAAGGTCATACTATTTAAGTCTGTGAGCGATTAGTGAACATAGCTACCGCAGATATCAGATGAAAATACATGAGAACAATGATCTGGTAAAAGGATAAATGTATCAGACCTGCTGGGGATGAGTGAAGATGTTTCACTAATTTGGGAATGAAATTGACGCTGATAGCTTCTTCCAGAGGGTGGAGGAGGGGTCCGATATCAGAGATAGTGCGCATCAGGTAGTTCCAGCGATGCTTGATTCCGGTGGGTGAATGCCACAAAAGCCGCATGTGGCTCTGTGTTAGTAATATCAGACAGAGCTTGGATTTCTCTGACCAACTCATTCACCTTTCCTGTTACGTATTCGGTCTTGAAGTACGTCGAGCCGATTGCTGCGCCTTTGTGTCTTTGGCCATCCATTGTTATTTTCACCTCACTTCCACCGAACTCCTCCATTGCCCGTTCATAATGTTCTGGCTTCACAATGAGGAAGGACTTGCTGGCATTTGAGTGGTACCCTATTTATCGACCATTTGATGTTTTCAGGTCCCATCACTTTTTTATGTCCTCCACTTTCCCTGCTCCTGTAAGGTCGTCAGCATACGCCACTTGCTTGACCACGGTTGTTTCAAATTTTATTGTGTGTTGGAGCACGAATAGGCCTATTGCGTACATTGCCATTGCAACAGGGTCCCCCTGCGTTGTTCCTTCAGTTGACTGTATGATGGTATCACCTCTTAGAGCCTTGTTGTTTACTATATAGAGGTCTGATGGATTCCTATAGGAGTTTTCAACATACATTGCAAAGCTTGGATGCTTGATCTTGATGTTGTGCAGTGCGGCCTTGCGGTTAAGTATGTTGAATGCATTGGAAGCATTAACCAGGAGAACTGCCTCACAATCACTCTGCTCAAATATCGTTCTCATGGCGTGAATGGCAACTTCCCTCCACCCTGGTGGCCAACACAATCTTACAGTTTCCCTGCCACTGCCCTGATATCATCCTTTACCACCTCCATAATGCATTTTCCGACGATCCGCCTCAGCACTTCCTCCACCCCTATAGTCCTACATCTTGGATTCTTATCCAGTGGAATGAGGGGGCAGGCTGTCAGAACATGGAGGTGTTGGCAGCACGAGGTTTCTAGTTATTTTGCAAGGGCGGCAATGGCAGTGCAGAGATCACTTGTTACAGGGCCAAACTTGTTAGTGCTGAGGATGACTCTCTAACCGTTTGCATCCAGACCTGAAGGCCCGCTTCTCCCTGAGTTTTCAGTGCTTTTTTCCACACGATCCCCCATGTTATTTTCTCGACCATGACAGCATTTGGTGGGTTATATTCACCCTGGAACCTGATGCCTTCCTCTTCAATTGCAGGGGGATATTTTTCCTTCAGTTGTTTTAATGTCTCTCTGTTTATTGGCAGAATGCCACCGGAGGATTACTCTGCGAGAGATCTGACCAAAGACACTTTTCCCACACGCATTTTATTTCCAAACTTTCTTGCCACGTCATCGGTGTTTTGCTTTCCGTCTCCTATAAATTTTAGTCTCCCCTGCAGTGTTTTTGCTTCACATAGGAGATCATCAAGGGCCCCATTCTGCCACATTGTCAATCTTCTCTTCATTGCTGCCACATTTTCTTTGTGCCTAGTCCAGTGGTTCTCAACCTGGGGGCCATGGCCCCCAAGGGAGCCACGGCAAGAATTTAGGGGAGCCACGGCGAGCTGTTATAAATTGTACGTTTCCAAATAATGTTGGGAATCTGAATTAAACAAAACTTGTATTACTTATTTTGACTTGGCAGAAGAGAATTTTCATTTTTTGTTGTCATTTTGTTTAATCATAACGACAATACAATTTTAATATTGCAATCTCTGGTGCTATTTTTTTTTAATTTTTACGGATGATTTAAGATTTCACAGGTCCAGTCCCTGTCTGTGTGACAGGCGCTGGACCGAGCTGCTGAACTGACTTGTTCAGTACGTGTCCGTGTGTCATCCCTTTGCAAATGGTGATAGGACCGAATGATCTCAGTCTGGCCTGGTATACCATCACGAAAACAGTGGAGTGTATTGTCTCTGAACCATATATTGTGTTTGAGCTTGACTCAAGCATAATATACTCCGTAATTGGTGTTACTTATTTTGTTTCATAATTCATGTAGTCGCTGCTTTACGTGGGTGAAATATTTGTACTCTCCTTTATTAATTATTTCCTTATTTATTGGCGCCATTGTTGTTCATACTCATTCTTTACTTATTTAATCCCACCATTTTTAGTGCTAAATTGGTATGACTCACTATTCTTCTCATTCTTCCAAGTTGGGCAGTGCTTGTCAAAGGAGGCGTGTTCTTGCTTACAGGAAGTACACTTCAGCTTGCTAGCTTGAGTGTGAATGCTTACCTGTGTGCATGTTTGTGTATGACTGTATGTGTGCTTTATGTGAGAGAGCATGGGCGTGTTATGTATGTGAATGTGTGTGCGTTTGCCATTCTAACTCTTGTCCTATTTATCTGTCCTTCTTTATCATTCTTTAGTCTTTATCACTTGTCTGTTTGTCTGTTCTGACATTCTGTCTTCTTTATTTTCTCTAGATTTGTGATGGCTACTAGTGTTGCTAAGAAGCGGAAGTACATTGATGGATACATTAACTACGGATTTACATCAATCCTCGCTGATGGCATTGAGAAACATCAGTGTCCTGTGCTTCAAAGTGCTGGGGAACGATTATATGAGGCCTAGTAAGCTGAAGCATCATCTGATGACGATCCATCCACAGTATGCGGAGAGAGACACCGATTTCTTCAGGCGCCATGAACGGAGTTTGGGAGAGTGGTGCTTTCCAACAACAGACTGTAAGTGTAGTTAGTGAGGCATCATACGAGGTTTCCCTAGAAACAGCAAAGCAAAAGAAGCCCCATACAATTGGCGAACTTTAATTAAGCCATGTGCTTTAAAAATAGTCAAACAGGTTCTTGGAGAGGCAAGTGAACGTAAAATTCAACAAATTTCCTTGTCAAACGATACAGTGAAACGGAGAATTAATGAAATGTCAGATGACATAAAGGAAAATGTGATACAGGGTATCAAATTATCTCCAACTGGTATGTTTGCAATACAGCTGGATGAGTCAACGGACGTGAGTTCTTGTGCACAGCTACTCGTGTTTGTTAGGTATGTTTTCTTGTGTGACATCAAGGAGGAATATCTGTTCTGTACACAGCTTGAGGCCACCACAACAGCTGTAGATGTGATGGAAAAGTTGTCTTCTTTCTTCACAGCTAACAGGATCAGCTGGGAAAATTGTTGTGGAGTCTGTACGGATGGGGCTCCGGCGATGCTGGGATCAAAATCGGGGTTCCAGAAGCGTGTCAAGGAAGTAGCTCCGAATGCCAAGGGGATCCATTGTATGATCCATCGTTTTGCACTGGCGTCGAAAACCCTCCCTGATGAACTTTGCAAGATCCTGGAGGCAGTGGTCAAATGTGACAACTTTGTGAAAGCTGGAGATCTGAACTCTCGCTTTTTCCAGAACCTTTGTAGAGACATGGATTCAGAGCATGAAGCCCTCCTCTTTTACTCCAAAGTGCGCTGGCTTTCCAAGGGCAATGTTGTGAATCGAGTGTTTGAACTTCGGGGAGAGCTTAAGTTGTTCCTGGAAGTGCAAGGGAAAGATGATCTATTAAGTCACTTGAGGTGTTGTGGGAGCCACGTCTTGCATATTTAGCAGATATATTTGAGCAGCAAAACAGGCTGAATCTCAAGCTGCAGGGCAAGAACAGAAATGTGTTTCACTTCATGGATTGTCTTCGTGCATTTCTTGCCAAGCTCCAGAATTGGCAAAGGAAAGTCAATGCAGGAAATGTTGCCATGTTTGAGAATCTTTCAACTGTTCTTGATGAGAATGAAGATCATCTGCTCGACCCATTACTCAAAACTGAAATCACTCAGCACCTGAAATCCTTGGAAAGTGAGCTCAAAAACTATTTTCCAGAATTCGAGGAGGAAGATGGGAAATTGGTGAGGAATCCTTTCTCTGGCACTCTTGATATTGCTACCATTCCCAGTGATGTTCAGGACGAATTTCTTGATCTCAAGAATGATTCTGTTGCCAAAGATCTCTATGAAGAAAGATCTCTGACTGTATTCTGGCGCTCAATGTATCAGTCATATCTAAAAGTTAGCGAGATTGCACTTCGAGTCCTCTTGCCCTTTTCAACTACCTATTTATGCGAATGTGGTTTCTCCACCCTTCTACATATAAAGAGTAAAAGCCGGAACCGACTGGGTGTGGACCCGGACATGAGATGTGCATTGTCAGTACACAACCTCGGATCAGTCACCTGACTGAAAGGAAACAATGTCAGCCTTCCCATTGAGCTGTGACAGAGGTCACATGAACTTTTTCCCAACCAAATTCAAGTTTGCTGTGAGGCTTGTCTGGTAGTCACTCTAGTCTAGTGACGTCAGTTATGTAAGTCATGTAAGTCTATCAAAATATAAGATAATGATGATTGTCAACCTTGAAATAAAATAAAGGTATTCTCTTCATCTGCATTTTATTTTTCAATATGTGTTGATTGTTGGATGTAGAAGTCAGCGTGCTATTGGGCTAATGAAATATATATGGATCCTCGTGTTTCGAAGCCGGATTTGGTAAAACGTTACTCTGACCACCGACGTGATATGGGTAGTCCCCATTAGAGGTTCACGGCGCCATAAGCTCGTTGAACAGGCTTTGTGTGAAATATAACAAAGTCTAGGACTGCTTTTAGTATCCTGGTGGTCCAGCGGTTAGCAATCCCCGGTCACAGTCATTGGCTAGTGGGCCGTGGGTTCAAATCCTGGCAGGTTGAGGTGTTGATTGTATGTAGAAGTCCGCGTGTTATTAGGCTAATGAAATATATATGGATCCTCGTGTTTCGAAGCCGGATTTGGTAAAAAGTTACTCTGACCACCGACGTGATACGGGTAGTCCCCATTAGAGGTTCACGGCGCCATAAGCTCGTTGAACAGGCTTTGTGTGAAATATAACAAAGTCTAGGACTGCTTTTAGTATCCTGGTGGTCCAGTGGTTAGCGTTCCCCGGTCACAGTCATGGGCTAGTGGGCCGTGGGTTCGAATCCTGGCGGGTTGAGGTGTTGATTGTATGTAGAAGTCCGCGTGCTATTGGGCTAATGAAATATAAATAAATATAGATAATATATATATATATATATATATATATATATATATATATATATATATATATATATATATATGTGTGTAATAATAATAATAATAATTAACGGTTTATTGAAAAGAGTTTGGCAGCCAGAAGGCTGAAAAATATACAGTTACATATTTGGGGAATGGGTTACGAATTACAACAATATACAAGTAACATAAGTGACACAAATAAGACATATAATAACTAGATGGGGAAAAGCTCAAACTACAGTTCATTTCCAACATAGTGACAGTGCAAGGAGTAGTGTTTAATGGAGTGAATTGCAACTTGATTGAGCAAGTTATTGATAATTTTTACAATGGTTGGGACTGGGCTGTTCTTATAGCGACTGCCTGTGCAATGTATGTGGGGCTGGATGCGGCTTAAAAAGATTCCGTCCTGCCTTCACCCCTTAACTGCTTAACCCCAAGCACCCAAATCTTCTACCAAATTTGCAGATGAGGTCGTGGTGATGGCCAGTGAGAGTCGAAAGGGTCAGTGTGTTGAGCGCTTCTTGATATGTGGAGTAGGAAGGGGAGAGAATAATCTTGCATGCCCTCTTTTGCACTTTTTCTAGGTGTTTACGTTGTGTGGCATTTAGGGAGGAAGACCAGGTGGGGAGGCATAGGTGAGCTTGGGAAGTATGAATGTTGTGTAAACACTGAGGAGCTCGTGTGCAGGAACTCCGAGGGACTTGAGTCGGCGTAGGAGGTGGAGACGGAAACTGGAGGATTTGATAACTTTCACTGACGTGTGGTTTCCAATTTAGTTTGTTGTCTATGGTGACGCTGAGGAGCTTCGTGGAATCTACAACCTGGAGTGTGTTCGACCCAGAGTAATGGAAGGAGGTGGACAATGTCGGAGGAGAGGTTGATGTGCATAACCATGGTCTTGGTATGGTTGATGGTGACATGGTTGTTGGTGGCCCAGTTTTGGAGACTGTTCAATAAATCCTAAAGGGCGGTATAGTTGGGAGCAGAATTGTTGACGCTGATCCCAATGGTGGAGTCGTCGACATATTTCCAGCGAGCAGGGGTTTCTCTGAGGGCATCATTGATGATCATAAGGAAGCAGAGTGGTCCCATCTTGGTGCCTTGGGGGACGCCACAGGTGAGTGACTGAAAGGTGGAGACAGCCCCTCGGAAGCGTACAGCTTGGCGTCGGTCACTGAGGAAGTCTGTAAGCCATGGTATAAGACTTCTCCGAAGCCCGAGGTCAATAGCTTTGTTGATGATTATATTGTACGACTAGGTCGAACGCTTTAGTGAAATCAATGAAGGCGACAGCTACAGACGTTTTCGTTTCTCGAGATGGCGGTATATGTAATCGAGAAAGCTGACAAGACAGTGAGTGGTGGAGGAAGTTTTCATGTTGCCAAATTGCTGAGGGTCTACGACTCCTGCAATATCAGCATAAGCCCAGTCGAACACAAAACTTTCACAGATTAGGCTGGGTATTGGGGTGATTGCAATAGGTCGTAGCTGATTTAAGGATTGTGGGCTGGTTGACTTGGGCACTTGTGATACATAAGAGGTCTTCCAGTCAGCTGGGCATCTGGCTTGACTGAGAGAAGCATTGATGATGGAGCATAGGGGTTTAGCAAGCTCAGGGGAGAACTCCTTGAAGAGTTTCATTGGTAAGTCAATGGGGGTGGTAGAGCGTTTTAATTTTAGTTTGTCCAGGCGTTTTGCTACTTCAAATTCTTCTACTAAGTCAGTGGGAAGGGGGGCTGGTAGGTAAGCAGGGAGAGTGGTTGTGTCAAGCCGGGGGAGCGTCTGGCATATAGTAGCGTAATGGTTATTTGTTTGCTCAGCTGCGTCAACATTAGTGAGATGGCTAAGGAAGGGGAGGGGGTGTGTCTTATTGTTTAGTCCACAGAGTTCTTTAAGCTTACCATACCATTGACTGATGTTGGTCTGCTTCAGGTGGTGTAATTTGGTTGGGTAGTGGGACTTCTTTGCAGTGCGTATTTCGCGGATGACTCGGTTGCGAAGGGACCTGTAGCGGATGTGGTCATTGAGATGAAAGGCTCTGTCTCTCTGTTGCATAAGTCTTTTGATCCGAGGTGTGATCCAGGGCAAGTCAGCTGTGTGTGTGTGTGGTCCCTCGGTTAATGAGCACAATTCGTTCCAGGAGGTCGTTCGTTAACCGAAAATTTCGTTAACCAAAACCATTGTTTCAATGGGATTTTGGGTAATTGGCTCCAGCTCACCGAAAATTACATACAAAGTAAAAAAAAATGCAGTAAAGTACACTTACTTTGAGGTGTGTATGTAAAAGGCTCCTGGATGATGATGATGATGAAGATGGGAATTATAAGTGGGGGTGGAGGGGAAGGGAGAAGAGAAGGAAGTGGGGGTGGAAGAGAAATCACTCCATGCTTGATGCCGTCATTTCACCCATAAAATTTTAAGTTCACTTGGTGTAATTCAAGAATATTTTCTTCAAATCAACACTGCACTGCACTATATATTGGCAATATGTTAAATACATTTCAGAATGACCAATAATTAATTGTACTGTAAAAACGTAAAAGTACTCTGTGTTCAAAAGACCCACAAGCAAGATGTTTCTTCCACTGAACAGAGACACAAACTGAGGCCTTGGTGGGTTAGTGAAGTGGCTGATGGGTGCTCCAAAAACTAGTTCCCTGCACTGCAATTATGTTAAATAAGTGTTAAAATTACTAAAAAATTTATTGTAAATCTTCGAAAATTATAGAATAGTACAACCTTCTTGATATTTTTTCAATTTTAATGAATGTAAGCCCTAGAACCGCTTTCTGCATTGGCGGACTAATCTTCCTGCTAGTGAGCAAACCAAAGCATGTCGAAACATTTTCGTAAGAATTTCGTTAACCGAATTTTTGTTTGTTAACTGAAATGAAGATTCTTATGGAAGGTAATTCGTTTACCGAAATGTATATATATATATATATATATATATATATATATATATATATATATATATATATATATATATATATATATATATATATATATATATATATATATATATATATATATATATATTCATATATATATACACAGTGGGGTATGCAATAACGAACGGATCCTACTATGAATATTCCAATAACGAACGTTTTTACCTATACAATTGAGAATGCTATAACGAACTCAACTCCTACAACGAACGCGGATGAATACGGGACTATTTCGCCTGGGGCATGAATATTGTTGTACAGCGACCCACAACAAGAGCGTCAGGCGCCATCTTTGTCTCATCGTGTAGCCAGTGCACCACTGTTATTGTTGAAATTTCGTCTTTTGATGTGGAAATAGAATTATTTGTATAAATATTCTGTTATACAAGTGTACAATTGTAACAATGAATCGTCCAAAGCGAGTGAGAAAGCTCATAACTCTTGAAACTAAGAAAGAAATCATAAAGAAACGTGAGGATGGAACAAGCATTGCGAAACTTAGTGATGAGTATGGGATGGCTAAATTGACTATATGTACGATTTTAAAGAATAAAGAGGAGTTGAAAACTGTGCAAGTGGCTAAGGGAATCTCTAGACTTAGCAAAGCAAGGTGTAATGTGATTGAGGAGACGGAAAATTTACTCTTAGTGTGGATAAAGGAGAAAGAAATGGCAGGTGATAGCATTAGTGAAGTTATAATTTGTGAGAAGGCCAGACAATTGTTTGAGGACCTTAAAGCCAAGACTCCCAGTGCAAGTGATAGTGATGTGCCAGTGCTTAGGGGTACCAAGGGGTGGTTTACTGGTTTCAGAAGGAGAAATAAATTACACAGTGTTGTGAGACATGGTGATGCTGCTAGTGCAGATAAGGAAGCAGCTAAGGAACACCATGACATTTTTTGAATGTTATTAAAGAGGGAGGCTTTGTTTCTCAGCAGGCATTCAATTGTGATGAAACTGGACTTTTTTGGAAAAAAATGCCTCGACGTACATACATTTCTAAAGAGGAAACTTCTGTCCCTGGCCATAAGCCAATGAAAGACAGGCTTACCCTCCTTCTTTGTGCTAATGCTTCTGGTGACTGCAAAATAAAGCCACTCCTTGTGTACCATGCAGAAAACTCCAGAGCTTTCAAAAACATTAGGAAGACCCGCCTTGGTGTTATGTGGCGGTCAAACCCAAAGGCTTGGGTGAC